GAAAAGGACATTGAACAGGGGATATCATTACTGATGTCAGGTGGATCTTGGCTCAAAGCAGAGACTACCAGAAAGCTGTTTACTTGTGTTTAATTAACTATGCACAGGTATTTGACTGTGTGGATAATAACCAACTATGGATAGCTTTGAGAAGAATGCGAATTCCATAACACTTCATTGTGCTCATGCAGAACCTGTACAGAGATCAAGAGGCAGTTGTGTGAGTAGCACAAAGAACTACTGCATGGTTTAAAATGACAAAAGGTGTGCATCAAGGTTTTATCCTCTTCCTATAATTCTTCAATCTATGTGCTGAGCAATAATCCCATAGGGATATGAAGTCTGTGAAGAAGAATGTGGCATCAGGGTTGACAGAAGGTTCATTAACAACCTATGATATGCAGCTGATACAACCGTGCTTGCTGAGAGGGAGGAGAACCTGAAGCCTTTGCTGATGAAGATCAAGGATTGCAGCATTCGATATGGATCACAACTTAATGTACAGAAGACCAAAATCCTCACAATTTTACCAATAGATAATATCACAATAAGCAGAGAAAGCTTTGACATTGTCAAAGATTTCTTTTTTTTTTTCTCTTCAAATACTAGGTATATTTTATGAAGTGACTTTTCGGACATATTAGCGTAATTCTTGAGGATGTTTCAATGCTGGTGGTAAGTTTAAAGGCCTTGATTCTTCATCTAGGAGGACGAGATCTTCTATTTCCATGCCTTTGTATTTTCTCTTACATATTTTTACCACTACCTTTTTTTTGAGAAATAACTTCAATGCTTCTCTGGAAGCAACTGCTTTAGCATTTTCTTCACTTTTTCCACAACCAGTGCCCAGATAAACAGACTTACATCTTAATTCACAAACAATATTTTCTTGAGAGCTCTTATTTTGGGGCAGATCTGCCAGTTCTTTTAGTGGGACAAAAAACACATCCAGTGTTGCTTTAAGAGCCTCAATAGCTGCATTTAAGAGCTCTCCATGATTCACCTTGAGACTAAAGCCACCAACAGCTACCAACTTCCATGCTACTGTTTTATACAGTCTATTGAAAAAAGGTTGCTTCTGCTTCACATCTTCATTGGTTAACTTGCAACAAGTAAATCTCACAGAACTCTCACTTAACTGTGAAGTACTTTTAGAAGGCACCTGGGAAGTGCTTGTCTGGGAACTACTCTTAGAAACCAGCTGGGACACACTTGCTAGGGAAGTGCTTTTGGACACCAGCGATCCACTGGTCTGGGGGTTGCTCTTGGAAGTTAACAGTGAAGCAGCTATCTGGGAAGTGCTTTTGGAAGTCAGCAGTGATGTGTTTGTTGAGGAGCTACTCTTGGGAGTTAGCAAGGATGTGCCCGATGAAGAACTGTTTTTAGAAACCGATGTAGCACTTGCTTCTGAACTAGCTTTAGAAGCTAACCCACTTGAAGCAGTCTCAGCACTAGGTTTAGAAGACAAGAGTGGCAATTCTACTTCCGAGCTTCCTGAGGAGCCCAACAATGGCAATGGGATCTCCGAACTACTTTGAGAAGCTGAAACTGAAGAGCTTTCCAAAACGCTCTTTTTAGGTGAGCTACTTTGTTGTCTGGAATCAGTGGATTGGCTATTCACACTTGATTTCAACAAAGAGGAAACAAATGGTGCTGAACCATGTTTATCTGATGTTTCTGATTCGGAAACTTTTCCAGACCCTGCCATCACTGCCGTTACCTGAGAGGAAATGCAGCTGCTGAGGCTGCTTTGGCTGGAAGTAGGTCGATCCCCATCACTTGTAGAGTTATTCTCATTCAAGGAGATACCAGAGCTCTGGGCTGAGTTCCCACCACTTTCTGACTTGGTAGAGGACCCCGTACATGTTGAGCTGTTTTCCTGCTTAGGTGATGCATGTTCTGTTTTGACAGAAGTTCTTGCATGCCCTTGCTCAACCGTAGAGTTGTTTTTTCCTTCGACTCTTTGTTTTCTGGGTGGCTCTTCTACCCCTTCTTGGCAACCAGTTCGTCTCTTGTTGTATGGATTGGAGCATCTGTCACTTTGATGCCTTCAGCCATACTAAGTATTTTATCCATAACTTTTTGAGGGTACCGGCACCCGAGGAAGACATGGTTGGCCCAGGCCAGGGAGAAGGAGATGA